ATTTATATCCGGATTTATACTATGATAAAACCGGATTAATCCGGATATAAAAAATATATCCGGATTGAGGTATTAACAAAAAGTTTTCCTTGAGCGATTTTACTATTAAAATTCCTCCAACCCTAACCTTAACATAGACCCTAACCCCAATTTTCGAAAACGAACGTTTGTTTTGAATTTTCGTGATCGTGTTACGTTACACCTGATCTTGAAATGTACGTGATCAAAAAATGAAAGATATTTAATAGATCCGAAATTGAAGCAGTTTCGTAAAATCCAGAAATCAAAAATGTTGAAGGAACAGCTGATATTTTTCATTAAAAACTTGGGTCGGCATGAGCAAATAAACGGATTACTTGATAAATCAACACAGTATTATCGAATTGGTGCTGATTGCAAAGGTAAATATTTCTTTTTACAAAAAATGAACGCGTTTAGGCGCGTCACAATCTGTGGAATGCTTTGGCATTTGACAGCTATTTAGTTTGCAAGTTTTCCACCTTATTTTGTCTAATAAACTCACAATTTTATAGCATCTCTTGAAGGCATTCTGACACTTATTAAAGGACTTAATAGTGTTAATATGCTAGTTTATCTTTGGGAATTACACTTGCTTGAAAAGCACTTGTTGACTATCTTTTTGTTAAATAACAACATAAAAGATAATGATACAAAGTCCATAATTGTTACTATGAGTGAGTGATATATTCTTTTTTCCTTCTACGGATTATAAACATAATTACTTACAAGCTACTTATGTCTGATAGTTGAGTTATTTGTCCTGATGACAACGCCCGTTGTTATAGACCAGAATGTTGACTTTGCTGATGATAACGCATGCCTACAAAGAGATATCTTAAAGGCTCAGATTGGTTATAAGGAATTGTTTACAAAAAATCCCGTTGTACTCAGAACCCTGTTAAATCTGCTCAATGATCATTTAAAGATTGAAATCAGGTAAATGATTTTAGCATTCAACCTTTTTAATCATATATTTAATAATATTCATTCTCTTCCAATTCTCTATTGGAATGTTGATAAATGGTAGCGAGCCCACGGAAAGCAACATTATGGTCGTTCGTCTAGTGCTAGCATTATTCCGGAATTTGTTGGCTATAGACAAAAAGGATAAAAGGCTGCATGTTTGTAATCTAAAGTGTATAGACTATGTTAATGGAATTTAATGTTTGTACTTTTAATACTCGTTTTTTTTTTTTTTTTTTTTTTTTTTTTTTTACATATATACATACATTATAGTACAATCTAGTGCATCAATATTATAAAGAAACAATACTAGAATGCCTTTGTTCATTCGATTCAAACACTATCGAATTATTTCAATGTAATATTATAATACAAGAGATATTCTATCATATTTTTTATGGTATCGAACCTTCCGAAATTCTGGAGAATCCTACAGCTGTATGTTATATCTATAAATTCATTGCTCTATGATAATAAGAGCTTCTTTGTGTGACCATTATTATATTATTATTATATATTTTATAGGAAGCAAATGAATTTTCCAAAAAACTGTTAGAAAATGAGGAAAAAAAAAAGGAGGATTATCGTCGTCGTTTTAATGAACGCTTTGGCGGAAAATATTGGGTGAAGATGCCTGTATGTATACTATTTTTGATTATGCTTTTTAATTAATCAATTTAGATGCGAATAATATTTATGTGCAATTCAACTCATTGTAGTTATTCTTAATTTAAGGATGGTTATGAAGTTCTTACTTCAAAAAGGAATGCACTCTCCGAAAAACTTCCTAATAATTCGGAAGACAAGGAGAATAAACGTCCGATAAAAGTATGTTAAAGATGTTATATTTTTTTGCAGCAATTAAAATATATTAATGAAAGATATTGTTTAGGATGAATGGCTGCCGAAGAAGAAGCCAGGACTTGATATTAATAACAATGCACGTGATTGTTTAAAAATTACTGCGATTAAATTTTTAAACACTATATTTACAAGTATTTATAATTTTTATTCTAATTTTACTTTGAAAATTTCATTAAAATTTATTATTTAATTGTTTTTTTTCTCCCTTAAGCGGTTGTACGCTCTGTTGGAAACGACCTGAGACCGGAGTATCATGATAACTATCATCATTCAGTTCACCTTTTCTATATCACAAAGTTTTTCCTTGAATTTTATCAACTTTTAAGCACCAAAGATTCAAATCTTGTTTCGGTAAAAAATTGGCTAGATATCTTGAATTACAAAATATTTAAGCTGATATTTAATAAAATTAGATACTTCAAAGATCAAAAGGTAATGATCGCAGTTGATGCAAATTTGGACTTCTATACTCTTTTGTTAATAACTATAAGCTTTACCCACTCTACTCTAAAAAGAAATGCACCCTAAAAAAATTTTTATATCTTCAAAATTAAAATAGGTCAGATTTCAGCATTAGCCGTAACAATTATTTACGTTATTTATACTAAATACTGTAGTTGCTTGCTACCTTCAATTGCAGTTATGGCTAGAGCTTCAAATTGGGCTGGAGTGCTTGAAACAAATGGTAACCTTTTAGTACTTTGCAAAATTTTTTCATAGTATATTAATACTTATTGGTAATTATTATAATATATTATTAATTTTCCTATTTTTAGTCAAGAACAATTGAAACAATGGGTTCAAAAAATTCGAATGAGGATCATGAAACTTGTAACAAAGTTCAACAGCTGCAATATAGAATTTTGTGCGACAAAGAAAATTTAGAATTGATTGTTGATGTCGTTAAAAGATCTTCTAAACAATCTGTGAGGTATTAAAAAAAATCCACTACACATACTTTGTAATCATCAATTTTTAGTTTTAAATATATACTTCAATAAGCATAATTCTAAATCACCTTTTGTTATCGATTATTTAATAAGTTTTCTTCGAAACTTGATTGAGACAGTACACCGACTTTTGTCTATGCTTGAACGGGTTAAGTTGAGAAAGTATATTTACGTTAAACAAAAGCGTCACAGTACGTGTTTATGATACATTATAATTTTCATAATTTAATGTTAATTACGGCTCTAACGCGATTGATATTTTTAAAGCAAATAAACTTAGCAAAAAAGTAAAATATACTAAGGATGAATATGAATATAGAATGGATAAAATTGATTCACGTGAACAAAGGCATAGAGCAGATGCATTTGACAGATACGAGAAGGTAATGCATTGAATTTTTTATGATATTTAAAATACATATTAATGTTTACGCATAACACAGTGCTATGTTGATGAAGAGGTCCTATCAACTTATTGTGCACTATTGGATAAAGAATACGAAACAATTGACTTAGATTTTCATTATATTAATACGATGTTTTTTCGTATCTTTTCTAATTGTGAATCTTCATTTTTCTTGAAGGTATGCTAATCACATATATATGTCTGAGGTTTGATTAATTATTTATTCATTCATTTACATCTATAACCTTTTTATTAGCTGTCATTTATGGAACTCTTGCATCGCATTCTCGAACATTTTAGGGGACTGACCGACTCTTTTCATTTGAATTTGAATGAGTCACAAATTAAGTTCAAAGAGTTTGCATATAAAATTGTAGAAGACTTTGCTATACGAATGGAAAAAAATCCACTAACATATATCGAAGTAAAATTCATAAACATTTTTCTTAATTCGATTACATAATATATCGAAACTTCTTTTTAAATAACTGATCATAATATTTCGCAGCTTATATTTCCTAAGACCGATTTGGGGCAATTGGAATTTAAAGAACAAGAGGAGCCGTAAGTTAAAGCCAGCCTACCCTTTTTTGTTTGCAACAAATTAGAAATAGTATATAATTTGTTTTATGCATTTGCATGGTAGGTCTCATGAGGCTCAAGTTGAGCAATTTATCGAAAATCTTTTGAAGTTGCTTCTTGAAGAAGGCAAATCACATTTAATCGAATGGCTTCAAGAAGTATTATTATGTTCGATAATATATTCATATTGTCATATAAAAATAAATATAATAAATTAAACTATTGCTCTAGGTTTTGCGCAAATTTGCTGAAGAGAATCAAGCATATGATAGTTCAAAAAAACATGGTATATATTCATATTTTAATTTTTTACAATTTAATTTTGGAGCAATTATTTGCATATATTAATATTTTATTTAATTGTGTAGTTATTATAGCTAATAATGCGGAGCAATTGGACGCGTTAACCCATGATGAACACTTCATGGCGTTTCTTGGTGTACTCGAGTTTAGAAAAATTGGTGGTTTGTGTTTGCATCTTGATTTGAAACGTTATAAATATTATTTTATACATAACAAATATCATAATTAAATCTTTCGTTGATAGATGAAGATAATGTAAGGTGGATAACTGAATCCGCTGATCTTTTCAGCTTAATCAACAAAATAGAAACCAAACTTCAAATTATTGAAATAAGAAAGATGCAAGAAAAAGTAGAACGAGGTCTTAAGAGAAAAAGAGAAGAGGAAGAGTAAAGGTGCGTATTGTTGCTACCAAGCCTTTTTTTTTGAATTATAACATTAATGCATATATTGCAGTGTTGTCATTTGGACATGTCTAATTAATTGGACAGTTTTGGACATGTTCAAAATTGTAAAATGGTTTTGAAATTATTAAGTAATTTAAAGATTAGAATGTTGCTAACTTGCCCTCCTGGTGATGTTAACCACTCTATGATTTACCAATTAGGTTGCAGGATTTTATTTAACAAAATAAAGAAATTTTAAAATTATCAATATTGCAAAATTTTATTACAAAAACTAACTTTGGGCTATTAAGTTGTATATAAGTAACTTATATTTAAACTTAATATAGTTTATATATTAACTATAATTTTTAAAAAATATTTATTTATATAAAAAAATTTATAAAAATAAAGAGTAGTTAAAATTTATAATTTTAACTAGGGGTTAAAATTAAAGATTAATATAAGTTTTTTTTTATAATTATATTAGTATTTTTTTTTTAATTTGGCAGTCTTGTCTTAACTGTTTATTAGTACTTTAAGGTATTGTGGTTACAAACATACATATATATATTTACAACTATCTAATTATTTACAGATAAGACTCACCCGGTTATTAACTTAGTATCTATGTGTGACCTGCTATATGAGATTTTATCTCTTTAGTACACACCCCTACAATAAATTACCGGACGTAGATCATGTGATAAGAACGATCACCAATCTTTTAACCTTAATTTTTTATTTTTATAGCCTAATACTATACAAAATAAAGCCTCTATTTTTACTAAACCAAAAAAAAATTAATATTTAACATGCTGACCTTTAGCTTTATAGATAGCTTTGACTCGGTTAGGCATGCTTAAAATTAGATTGCGTAAGACCTCTAAAGGTATCTTTGCCCATTCTTCTTGTATGGCCTTAATTA